ACAACTGAAGCGGTGGTCGATGCCTTTAGAACGTATACCTCGATACCATACCTGGATCTGAGGGTCTAAAAAGCTTTGATATTTGGTTCAAACATATATAAAAGTATAAGATTTATATGGAGAATATTTTCAAGAACATTAAAGCCAATTTCAATGACTAATATTTGTTTTTGTTCCCTAATCCCGAAATATGAAAGACAACACTCGTATATGTATAAACGTTCCAGACACTCGGATATTGATACAAATAATATTTTGAAACTCTTCACGTTTCATAATTGTTTGTCAAAATTTCTTTAGAATTTCAATTGAATTTTAAACTTTGCAAAAATAAAAGTAAAATTATAGCAAAGACTTCGGGGAAGAAATTTATTTTTTTATTTAATATACTCAAAAAGGCTGGAATTGTTCAAGCTGGTGTTCGAAAATTTTTGGAGTAATGAGCAATAAAGGAGTGCGCGAGCAACTCGAAAATGTTCGAAAAAAATCTTGACCTCTAGGCATGGCGAATTCAAAGGAAGTGAAGTTGTCACATGATATGATTGCTTGTGCTTCCTTTTATGCATAGTCTTTTTGTTTTTATATTCTTGTTACTACTGCGTATATATACGTGTATACATATCATATTTTGTTTCATTATTCTCAGGTTTTTTTTTTAGAAAACAGTGTTTTTGAAACATTTTTCACTTGATTTCATATTTGTTTTTGCACCGAAGCAATGAAAAGTTTTTAAAAAAGAAAAATAATAATAATTTAAATATATTTTTTTTTTTAATTATTACCATTGGGAATTGATGCTCTTTATACAACGGGGTATAAATAAACGTACTGTAACTGATACTTCAGAAAATCAAAAAAAAAAAAAAAAACGGGATATGCAAACTTCAATGTTCAAGTAAAAAAAATTTTTTTTCGTTAACAGCTTTTAGTGTTTACTGATGTAGTATTTAGCTTTAATTAATTTTAATTGGATTTGATTTTAATTTTAGTTGGCGCTATAATTTAATTAATACAAATATTTATAATAAATACAAATAATTACTACTATTTACTGAATTTTTGCATACGTGTACATATGTTTGTATGTATGTGTTATCTTTTGTTGTTGTAAGTAATTTTTGTAGCTGGCCTTCACCCATAAAATTTGATTTTAATCATATTACGGTAACTGTAAACACTGCATTGAACACTAAAATAGCATTTTTTTTACTATTTTCAATTCTTAATATAACCGTTTTGTAAGATAAATGTGTATTAATAATTGGTTATTTATTTCATTTTAGTTGTATGATTATTTTGTATTAATGCGTTGTTTGCTATGGATGTTTAGCGTTTATTTCTATTTTTTCGCTAAGTTCCTGAATTTTCGCTTCCATTATACATATGTATGTATGTACGTATTTACATATTTCTAGCTGTATGCACATTAGCTATCTTATTAATATTTGTATGTGTCTGCTGTATTTATTGCATTATATAATGATATATTTAATATATCGGGATTTGATTTTATTTATTTCATTTTATTTTATTTATTTATTTTTTAATTGATTTCTAATTTATTCAATTTTGTCTATATATTTCGCCCGAGCCTTTTCTCCGATTTGTGGTATACTTCTTGATGTTTTCCATCAAACGGAGGGGACCTTCTGTTTCTAAGTACTAAGCCGCCTTCGAACAGCTGTTAGTTTCAAAGAGCTTGGCGAGGGCCGACCGCATTTAGATAAATTAATTTTATATTTCATTTCATATTTTTCTATTTTTTAATATTATTATTTTTTAGGTTTTTAGTACATTATTATTTAATTTATTTTAATTTTATTTTAATTCTTTTTTTAACCTCTTTTATTTTATTTTGTTGTGTATTATTTAATTTCTAAAGTGTTTTTCTTTATTATATTTTTTAAGTGTTTTAAAAAGAGTTAAATAAAGCACAATATTTTATTTTAATTTTCTTTTCAATTTTTAATTTAATTTAATTTTGTTTTAATTTAATTAATAGTTAATTTTTCTTCTCATTATATTACCATTTTCATATAAATTGCTTAATATTATTTCTATTTTATTTGAATAATTTAAATTCATTTCATTTTATTTTATATAATTTTATTTTATTTTAACGTTTCTAATTCCCATTTACTTTTATTTCATTTTCATTATATTTATTTTTTACTTTTGATTTTATTTATTTTACTAATACAATCTTATTATGCAGTATATATTTTCATTTGTATTTTTTTATTTTCTAGTATTTAATTATATTAATATTTTTTTATTTTATTAAATTTAGTTTTGTTATCCGTTATTTCATTTTTAGTGTTTCGTTCTTTTTTTTTTTTTTTTTTTTNTTATTTTATTTTATTTTATTTTATTTTATTTTATTTTATTTTATTTTATTTTATTTTATTTTATTTTATTTTATTTTATTTTATTTTATTTTATTTTATTTTATTTTATTTTATTTTATTTTATTTTATTTTATTTTATTTTATTTTATTTTATTTTATTTTATTTTATTTTATTTTATTTTATTTTATTTTATTTTATTTTATTTTATTTTATTTTATTTTATTTTATTTTATTTTATTTTATTTTATTTTATTTTATTTTATTTTATTTTATTTTATTTTATTTTATTTTATTTTATTTTATTTTATTTTATTTTATTTTATTTTATTTTATTTTATTTTATTTTATTTTATTTTATTTTATTTTATTTTATTTTATTTTATTTTATTTTATTTTATTTTATTTTATTTTATTTTATTTTATTTTATTTTATTTTATTTTATTTTATTTTATTTTATTTTATTTTATTTTATTTTATTTTATTTTATTTTATTTTATTTTATTTTATTTTATTTTATTTTATTTTATTTTATTTTAATTTATTTTAATTTATTTTATTTTGTTTAATTTCATTTAATTTTATTCAATATATTTTATAATTTAATTTTTATATTCTGCTTTATTATTACTTATAAATTGTTAATTATTTCTTGTTTTATTATTTTATTTTTGTTTTTTTTTTTTCGTTTTTATTCATTTAATTTCAAATTGTTCTGTTTGATTTTTTATTCTTCTTTTTTTTATTTTTTCAAACTCAATTTTTTTTGCGTAATTAAATTTTTTTTATTTGATTTAATTTTTTATTTCACGTGGGCATGTATTAAATTTTTGTGAAAATTTATATTTTAATTTTTGTTTACTTTTCTAAAAATTTTTACCGCACAATTACATAGACATTCAGCATATTTAAATACATGAAAATATACTTTTTTGAAGTAAAAGATTGTGAAATTTCGAATTAAATATATTTTTTTCGTCCATTCTTAATGCCTTCGGCAAACAAATCAATTTAACAGAACGTACATACATTTATAAATAACATTTTTAGTTTACATACGTACACATTTATTTGTATTAAATAGAAATCAGCTACACAAATACATCACATTTTGCAAGAAAAATAAAATCCAATATCAGTTGTATAATATTTTTTTTATCAGCCATTTTAGATGGACTTTTTTTATTCTTAGTGCCATTTTTTCCATTTTCTCTCGCTTTTTCTTCCTCTTGTAACACATTTTGCATTACATATTTTCTATATATATGTATGTGTGTACATATGAATCGATACGGCGATACGGATTTACTACAACTACTACTAAAAATAGACAATCAATCAAACAATCATCAATCACATACAGCTCGATTGTAACGGTAACTCATATGTATATATGTATGTATTATACAGCATGTACATATACATAAGTAGTGTATATATATATATATATTTAAAATGTAATTTTAAAGTAAAATTTAGCTAGCAAACACTTTACATACATACAATATAACAACTGAATGAAAATGGAAGGAATATCTAACTCAATATCTAAATTCAATTTCTACACGCAAACCCAGCTTCATTACATTTTCATTTTCATTTTCATTTTTATTTTTTATTGATTCCTCTTCTTTTCCTTCATTTGCTATCTCTATATAAAACTTTACTTTTAATTTAATTTTTTTAGTTTCCACACAACACTGTTAGTTTGCTTGCAACATTTAAGCCAATTGCAAATTTACTTCTTTTCCATATACCGTTACATTTACAATAGTATTTATTTTTAAAAGTAAATTCTTCAAGTCAATGAATATCTTAAATTCTGCTTTTAATTAATTCGCTACTTAAAATTTATTAACATAAATACTCTATATGTATGTGTATGTAAATTATGTATGTATGTATCTACAATTAACCGCACGTCATTCGGTGTGAGCTGAAATGTACGCACATAAATATATGTATTTACATATATTTCTAAGAAGTTATTATACTTAGCAGTATTTTATTATAATATTTATTTGTATTGCAATTATCATCAATTATTTAATAAATTTTATACACTCTCCTCTCCTGCGCAAAATCACCGGTCGACAACTACTGCACATGAACCTCTACTAAGTATCCTTAGTCCGCTACACACTTACACGTACATACTTAGATAACTGGTTGTTTTAAGAATTTAGTGATTTTTTTAGTTGTTTTTGTTATTCTTTTTTTTCCTTTGTTTTAAATGTTTCTGCTGTTTTTTTTTTTAAATTTAATTTTTAATTTTTATAATCTTTTCTTTTAATTTCTCCGCTTTAGGGCTGGTAATTTTGTATGGTTTTAAATTTTGGTTTTTTTTATCTTTTTTTTTGCTGTTTACATTTTCTTTACTAACTTTTTTATTTATTAATATCTTTTTTTTTTGCAAATTTTACTAATTTTTTTTTTCAATTCGCCAACTTTGCAGTTTTGTGTTTCACAATCTACACTTTTGAAGCTTTCTTCTATTAAATACTTCTTTACTTTTACAATGCAATATTATTATTTGTATACCGTTATTATTATTTTGATTTAAAACTATGCTCGGCTATTTGAGTTTCTTTGCTTTATTTCATTTATTAGAAAATATATTTTTCTTTCGCATTTTTTTTTTCATTTTCTTTTTATATGTGTTTTATAAATTAATTACTTTATTTATATGTATGTGTGTATATATTTAAATTAATTTATTTTCTATCAACTAATTTAGTTACAAAATACAGCATGTCGTTGAACAGCATCTACTGGAACCACCTTTACTCTTTTGCCTTTGATCTGATTGTTTGTTTGTGAAGAGAGGGGGAAGGAAAAATTAGAAAGACAGGAAAAGCAATTTCTTCATTAGCATTATAATTTACATAATTTTAATTAAAATGCATGTAATAATTAAATAATAAACAATAATTAGTCGTATTTAAGTTAGAAAATGTCTAAGAATACCAAAACCACTTTAGTCCGACGATTGCAACCCCGTCGCGGACCCTGTAAACTTGAGCAGGCCATGTGCAGGGTGCGGTAACCAACTCGTATCGAACCTTGGTTCACGGCTAAAAGAGACAAAGCCTCAGTTCAGCCACTGCGACTTATTCGGTTTAGGTGTCTGCTGAAGTAAAATTAAGCATGCCTCGGATGCGATACCCGCCTTTTGATGACGACACTTGCAAATGTTTTAAGTATTACGATTTGAGGGCATGCACCTGGAATGTCCGGTCCCGGGATGGTGCCGCTGCCAAGCTCGTTCATGTCTTCGCAGGAACAAAGGTTGACATCCCCGCCGTCCAAGAAATGCGATGGACGGAACAAGGACGGTAGTAGGTCCCTCGTCATGTCGCCAAAATCCGCATTAAAGCAAAATTGTTTAACATATCGTTGATTTGCGCAGAGGGCATGACGGAAGAGAGGGACAATTTGACCAAAGATGCCTTTAATGAACGTCTGGAGCGTACATATGAGCGGCGCCCCCGCTTAGTTGTCAAAATTGTTTTAGGCGATTTCAAAGCCAAGATGGGTAAGGCACGAGTCAACGGAAAATTCAGCCTCCACGAAACATTTCGAAATTGGTTAAGGCTGATCGGATTTGTCGGGGCCCGAAATATGGTTGTCAATTCACCAAGCTACTTGGCTGTCTCCAGATCGAAAAACTCACGATCAGATCGATTATGTTGTAATAGACGGACAAGTATCCAGTCCTATTGACTTTGGTACGATGAGGATCGCCGTGCTGCAGTGGATGCAAAAGAGACTACCATTCGCGCCCAATACACGTGCGTGATGGGAAGGATATCGAAAACGAAGAGGGAAGCGCGACGCATGTGCACTAGAAAAAAAAACTAGATGTGTGAGTATTGAGAGCTTGATAAGCTGGCAGACGGCGGTAAAAATCGAAAATTGTACGGAAGAATACGGCGACTTACAGAAGGTTCGCTGTTGGTGGACCCAATTAGGTGATCTAGCGACTTACGCACGAGTATAATGGAATTATGCACGAAACAATTCTCCAGTCTGCTTTATGGCTATGAACTTCGGAACTCTAGGACGCTTAAGGAACAACAAAGCTGCAAAGCTATTCCAACACAGCAGCGAAGAACTGCGAAGAAGCATGCATCAGCGTTTGGAACCTTAGAGTGCACTGACCAATCCGCACGGTATGCACTAATTATCATGAGGTAAGCCTACTTTTATTTATGATATATTCTATGAAAGTTGAAAGCCCACCGTAAATTAACTGATTGAACCTTATCTGCGTGGCCTTAAACCTAGTAAATCCAATGTGGACTGATTTTCCCCTACTTGCCTCTTGGCCTCCAACAACGCTCTGGATGGTTATAACTCAAGATCGTAGATAATTTCGTCTATCTAGAACCAGCCTTACTATCAATAATAATGTCAGCCTTGAAATCCAACGTTGAATCACACTAGACAACATGTTCTTCGAGAGAATGGTTTTTGGGAGAAATTAAATTTTATTACTTCTACCTTAATGAAACTCTCTAGAGCTTAACTCACAATTATCCATTATTATAATTCTTCTTACAGGAATATATCATAATATAATGTTAAAAAAAAGTTCTAGACCTTCCTAACAGTTCTGGAATGCTTATATTAATACATATGAGAAATAATAATTTGTTTGTCCTTTGCATGGATCTAAGTCTCACTTACCTTGCGAATTGGGTTCTGGTAGATTATCACGCGGCACTAAATGCATAACAGTCGTTTTGCCCAGCGGAAGTCCCAGTGCGCCCAATGTTACGTTGCAATGTAGAAATCTACCTTGATAAATGAGGCGTAATATTTCGGCCTTGGAGACGGCTTCGCGTTCCCAATCTGCAAGTAAGAGCACAAGCAAAACAATACAACATAAGAAATCGAGCTAAATTAAGCGAATAATTAAAGCAAAATCAATATATTCCAAGGCAATATGTACAGAGTACAATAACTAAATTCGCATTTCACTGCGAATTTCATATAATCAACACCAAATAGCGAGTACAACTCTGATAAAGTACATTACAACAACTTGCAACTCATTTAAGCACTTTGTAGCCTCCACCAATCTGTAACAACTGAAACAATTCACCACCCAACTGCTGCCGCACTTCACACCTGTTCCCTCTGTACATATGTACATATGTATTTAGAGTGGTCGGTGAAACTTTTGCTGTTGGGTACACTTTCGGCAAGTGCATTGTGTGTGACGATAGAGCGTTGTTGCAAGTGCATAGTACATAAACACATTTATATTCAGGTATGTCCCACCTACACGAGAGTCATTTGCTTTAAGAATTTGAAAGGACATACCGTGGGCAGGACATCGCACAATACTGGGCCATCATTATCGCTGTCATTGGTATTGTTGTAGTTGCTCTTGCTTCGTATTTGTTTGTGTGTGTATGTGCATCACATGGACGACGCATTAATTTCACTCTTTGGTGTTTAATGCGGGCTGGGCTGGCAACCATAACGGTCACGCATTCACATACACAGCCGCATAGGCAACCACACAGTCACATTATGGTGTATCCAAAGGCTTTATGTGCCGACCACAGGCACGTAGTCATTACAAACCTAACTAACTGTTGGGCATACAATTAGATTCATACATACCCGGTAGGAAAGGAAATTCGTAAACCCTTTCCTTGGTCGCAACAATGTTCATTGCTCCAACTTTTTAAAAGAGTATTCGACTAATGCAACGTGATCTAGTTTTAAGGATTTAGATAGAGTTATAAAGTGAAATAGAGAGAAAAACGTGAAGGAAGGAAGGAGGGAGGAAGCGAAGGAAGACAAAATGGAGAGAAAGAGAAATAGGGAGGGATAAGTGATTGGATGGAAAAGAGAGGGAGAAGGAGATTGTGGAGAGAGAGAGAGAGAGAGGCAGAAGGAAAGTGTGGAGAGAAAAAGATAGAGGGAGAAGGATATTGTGGAGAGAGAGAAAGAGAGGGTGAAGGGGAGAGTGGAGAGAGAAAGAGAGCGAGAAGGAGAGTGGAGAGAAAAAGAGAGAGGGAGAAGGAGAGAGATGTAAGAGATTGAAAGAGAGGAACATAGTGGAAGGGAGGGAGGGAAAGGATAGAGAGAGCAGAAAGAGAGAGAGAGAGAGAGAGAGAGAGAAATAGAGTGAAAGAGGGAGCAAGAGAGAGAGAGAATGATTGAGAGAGAAAATGATTGAGAGAGAAAAAGTTATTAGGAGCTTTTTTTTAGCATCGGCAACTGCGTCGACCACTCATCCGGCATTTTGTTAACTTTTACTAAAATCTTTCATTTTCCATACGTTTCCAAATGAAACAAACAAGCCAAACCGAAAACTATCAAACTGCGTGCTGTGTGAATGAGAGTAATTCGCATTCGTTATTGAGAAAGCGAAACACGTAATTGGGCTGCCGTGGAAATGCCGTATTAGGCTTTGTTAGGTTGAGCTAGATGACTTATTAGAGTCTCTCAAATAAACGCTATATGTACCAAATACGACTACTACTACACTTCCTGTTGTGCATCTAATTTAAGGAATATTATTGTTCTCTTAGCAAATATCTATATGCAGGCGTTTTGGTTCTTTATCCATTACAAGCTGAAGATGATGCATTTTATGCTCAACAAGCGAGCAACGGACACTCACAGATTACCTAGTGTACTGTCACTCCACATTCCCTGCAATTGCTGTATTTATTGTCCAGACCTAGCAGCCGTGTCAGCAAGCTCGAGTTCGATCTCTTTGACGTTAGTAGTAGCCCAGTAAGCTTCAAGTTATATGCTTTGCATATAATTTTCGTTAGTCTTCAGAGACAAAAAAGTCCATGACTACGCTCTGTTCAGAAAGTACTTTCTATTGTATTTAACCGATTCATCTCATTACCTGCGATATACTGTGCTCTGGCACCCAATAAAATTGAATTTTTACTGTTTTTCGCCTCGCTACAAATGGCACCACTGAAGACTTCGTGTGGCATGAAAGTAAAGCTTTCTCGTTCGGTTGGCTAACTATTGTCCACCAATATTCTTTTATTATGTGGAAGTAAGTGGGGCTATCGTCAAGTTCATTACAAACATATTGTCTTGGGAGATATTGCAGTGCTCTTTTATTTTTGGTTTCGTTCATTTTAGAAAGGCCTGTAAAGACAGACAGAGCCTTTTTAGGAAATTAAGTCATTTACTTCCTTCGTCTACTTCAATTGTATGTAGCTGCTACATTTCTAAGTCTTCGGAAACTTTCCTCAGTTGTTTTCTAATAAAGTATTGTAGATGGAGCTTTCCCTCTTGATGATATTAACACGACCACGATTTGAAAATGTCAGAACTTCCTCAAGTCCAGACACTTTTTCTAAAAAAAATAATAATAAAAATGTTCTCAAAATCTATATTTTCGGAAAACGCTTTATGGCGACGACTTTCGACAAATATAAAATTGGGCTAAGTGTCTCTGACAATGGTTTAATGACTTGTTAAGACACCGGTTTAAATAAGGTAATGAAATTAATGAAAAGTTCAAAGTTTTCTTCTAAGAAATAAGATAATCAGCTATCTCGGCTGTAATAAAATAATCTTTAAACCATCGGCTATAGTTCCGAAACACTGATCTCAGTTACTTAGAGTATGACAAGGTTATTTTAAAGATACCATTAGCTCCGGTTCGAAAACTTCGACTTCGTGATTGAGTTTACATTCCCCTTACAACGCCCTGACATGAAAATATATTCTAAGCATAAGCCCAATACTGAAAGGTCGGTATTTTTAACTGGTTGTAGTCTAGACTCTTGTTTTAAAATCTTTCCGAAATAATTTTCTTTATTGAACAGAGCGAGGGTAACGATTTCATTTCTAAAAAGCAGTTTTAGCCACCCATAACTACAAGATAGATTATATACACCGATTGATTCTTTATGCATATGAGCAGGGTTTGAAAAAGTCTGAACAGTCAGGTTTAAAACCTCTAACAGCCAATTCAGTTGAAAAACGTCGGCTTTCACCACTTATCCAGTAAGCTCACCACTCAGTAATTGAAAAAAAAAAAAATCTAAATTAAAGCATTGACGATTGTAAGTAAAGAGGAAGCTATCGGGCATCATAGCTTTCTAGGTGGAAAGCCCACACTGAAAAATCAGACTGCTGGGGGGGAGTTATAATCTAAAACACCGACAGAGAAGGAAAGTTCTTTTTGCTTGTTTCATTCTTTTTTAGAGAAAGTTTCACCGTGCAAAATAAAAGGACGACCGACTGCCTCACTAAAACGAAACATAAAAGATCGTGTTGTTGCGCATATTGTTAATGTAGAAATGTTATTTGGTGGGATTACGTAACTATTGTTGTTGTTCACCACGTGTGTGTGTGTGTGTGTGTGAGAGAGAGAACAAAAAGCAAGCAAAGTGTACGTGAGTTCATCTGTTTGCCGGTGGTAAATAAATCAGGATAAGTTAGCGACAAATGCAGCGCCTTCATTAGCAAACGACAAATGAATATTAAATAGTCTCTACGCATACACTCGCACACACACACACTCGTACACACACACATGCAAGAGACGACTGAATATCAGTCGCCCCAATTCGCCAACACAAGACTGCCGAGTCCGTTGCCGTTGCCGTTGCCGCTGGCCACACAATGGCACCTGCACGCCGAGACAAACATACAAATGTATAAATATTTATGTACTCATATATCCTTATATGAAGCTCCACTGGGAATAGCCAACAGCATAGTACCGCAAACGCAGCGGCAGCAGCATTAATTGGTTGCCGACAGCCATGCGACTTTACAGTGCTCACTTTGTATGATGGAGAGAGAGAGAGCAGCTAATCGGCGTGCGTGTAAGTGTTTGTAGAGAAAGAGGGATAAGCAGCAGGATGCTACTATAAATTAATATATGTATGTACAGACACATATACATATATATGAGTTAGCACTCATATGTCTGGTGCCTCTTTGTAGGCGTGACTGACCGACAAAGCGCATAGTTGGTGGTCAAAGTAACGCAACAATGCGCCAATACATACATACATACATACGTGTATATGAGTATGTCCTCATGTATATACATACGAGAGTTAGTCACTTTTGTTGTGCCCTGTGGGTAATAGCACAAATTTTGCTTCGCCCGCCGACGGTCAATTTAACACCGATGAGCTCCAATTGGGAGTAGGTTGGGTGTGTAGTCTCACACCATTGCTAAGGCATTAAGTGGGTTGTTAGACTTTAAACCCAAGCAACAACAACAGCAAACAACCAAATAGACATTTTTCAATGTGATTTTGCTGATGGAATACTAATTTTGTGCAGCAAATATTCGCAGGAGCCGCACTGTAGGTCTTCGTTGTACCCAAGCGAAAATCGAGCAGCTCCCATGGGAACGTAAAGGTAGTGTTAAGAGAGACTGGAGCTAACATTATGAAAAACAAAATAAATTAATAATTATATGGACTTCTTAAGGGGCTGGCAGGTGAATGGCTTTGCTTTCCGCTGCTCAGGGTGACTTCTTTTCGGTACCAGTTCGTCGGCAGTCTCGCGGCTTTTGCACTTTCTCGAATATCATACTTTATGACCAGAAGCAACCGAATACACTGACTCCCTTTAGAAACATAACCTGTTTTGACCGCAGCGGGTTTAGTTTGCTGGAAAAGTAGCAGCCCTTGATCGCCTAAAATTCAGGTTAGTCTGCGCACGACACTAACCATACCATATCTTTGCATGAATTCTGAAATCCAATCATGTAAAAACCTTTACTTTTGTTCCGCTCAGAAGAAAGGGCTCTTTTTCTGGGCCTTCCGGTTTTGGCCTACTCTCTTTAAGACAGGCTTTGCGCAACAGCCGTCTGGATAAATTCAAACTAGTAGTGC